CTCTTATACAGTATAAGATGTAAAACTATATTTTTTCCTAAGCAGATAATTTATTCAACAAAGAATCCAGAAATATTTATGTATTATAAAATTCTTTCAGCACAATTCATCTGTTTTTATTTTTATCATTACATTTCTTCTAAAAAAGGTAAAATTCATTATGGTTTTATCAATAAATGAAATGAATGCGTAGAAACTATCAAAAAAGTAAGAAATCTTTTAAATATAGGAGAAACCTTTACTGCAAGTATTATATTCAATTATAATGGAGTGATCCCCAGCAGGGATTTCACTTTGCAAATTAAGTTGAGACCTAACGCCCTATTATGGAAAAAAACCTTATGCGTTGTGAAGTTTAAAATGTCCAACATAAGGCCTGATTAATCTTTTAACACCGTCATCTCCGACAGTTCTTATATTGTTAACGAATGGTACAGCTACGAAAGGGTTCTCTTCCTGGAACTTTGCGAAAGCACTTATGTCTCCTAATTACTGTCTGTTTGCTACGAGTGGTTCAGTAACCCCGACGATAGAGGACATGCCTTTAGCTCCATGACTGCAGGTGTTGATTGATAGCTTGTGAAATTACAATTTTATAGTACTTCCCCACGGCTCGTTGTCAATACACACAACGGTTTCCAAACACACGACACTGCACAGGTTGATTACCTAGCTCTTGATCGGTATTAAGTTCAGCTGGTCTGGAATTAGAATGGTATTGGCTGCTTACACTGTGCTACTTGTCCTTAAAATGTCTACATTTTCGAGCATAAAAATGTAGGCTGTCTTTTTCTCCCGGCAGCGAGAATCTCTATGATTCAAATTTGGACTCCGATTATGTGTATTATCGCCAATTGGGAATTTAGTTTGGGTTTTTTTATCTTTAAAACCAATACATTTCATTATACCTTTAAATATGCTCTTATTCAAATGGTTGTTTGGCGGCCAATGGGGGAATAGTCCTCGGAAATGTCTTAGTAGGTTATCCGGTAGCGTATATTACGAATGACAGAATGGTCTCTCCGTACACTGGGTGACGGAAAAGCTAATCAACCTTGGGTGTTTTGCAAAAGAAATATAGCGAACCTCTAGGTCAGGTCCTCTAGGGTTTTTTGATTATAATATCCCATTTGAAAAAAACAACGTAATAGACTGAGATGGGCGATCATTCACAACATGTTTCTCCACACTTGCAGCATTATCAGATGTGTCCAACAATACCAAAGTACAATATCTCCCCCATGGACATTATACCTTGGTATTGACCTGATAATACTACAAGTGTTTTGATACAAGTTGTGAATGATCACCCTGACACGAATTTTAAAAACAGGGTTACTAAGCTAAATCCGTTATCATATTTCAGTGCGAGAGCCCTTTTATAAAACAGTTGATGTACCGAGATAGGATTAATTTGTGACCGTAAATTCTTTGAATGTTAATCTATTTAGTAACTATGTAAATTTACAATTGGATATTCCTATAGTATGTGCATCATTACTGCCATAATCTTGAATTAAATTGAAATATTTTAAATTTGTTAATAGAATTACCCTAACAACCACTACGCAAATACTATCAGTAAACTATCTACTATAACCACACATTACACAACCACTATCTGTTGAGCATTTCTTTAAGTATTAACCTAAAGAGCAATAATTCAAATTAACGTCTCCTAAGCAACAGTTCTTAAATAAGCACGAAATTTTGTTCTCACGATAGTTCTACATAAATTTATAACTAGGAGTTTATGAGTACACAATCTTTGCCTAGCCAATACGATCATGTAAACAAATTTAAATAGATTCCGTTAAGAGTCTAAGTTATATAATTATTTTCATACAAAAATATGTATAACATAAAATTTTTCATAAAAATTATAACTTGAATAATGCAATTGATTACCAACCAAGTATGATTTATCCAGAATGGTGTGAAAAAATCAATGAAAATACGTTTTATTGATACATCAAGTAGAAGTGTTGCAATAACTTGAAAAGACATATTTTGTAAGAACAGAACTTTTAATATAGTTAATCCTGTATCCTTTGTGTAGCTAACCTGTGAAGAAAATGTCACATACAACAAAACACTGGAACAGGGACTTTTATAATCAACATGTTTACAAAGGGCTCCACATCCAGATCTGAACATGGTTTTGATTACTTTGTGTCCTTTCCTAATGTTCCATTATTAATATATGTGGTTAAATATTGTATAGTTTAATTGATATTCTGTTGTCACATATATACACATTTCTATGAAACGTAGACACATTATGTAATGAGTTGGTAGTATTAAAAATTTAAAGTAATTAAATCTGAGAATAAAAGTGATATAAATAAACTACAAAAACATTTTCATTGTTATTATCATGCAGTATTTAAGCACATATGGTGTTTGTAAAGTAAATATTAAATATACATTTTTAGTAATACTGTATTTTAAAGACCGTAGCTAACCCTACGGAAAATATTAGACAAAACAAACCACTGAGAGAAGGACGTTTTTAATCAACACGTTTACAAAGGACTTATACAGCCAGAGCTGAACAAGGTTTTGTTACTTTGTGCCTTTTCCAAAAATTGTGCACCAATGTTTAAATTAGTTGAACTTAAAACTCTGTCACAGTTTTTTATACAATTGAGTTTTTTTATAGTTATCTAAATCCAATAGGACTATTATCGGTTCAGAAGTTGCACCTAGAAATAATGGAAAAAGAATTTTGTTAGTCATACAAATATCTGTTTTATAAGCTATATCACATAATTAAAAAAAAAAATATCCTAAAAATGATGTTTAAATGTAGATTTTACTCCTCAATGTAAGCTGGGCACTATTTAAAGTTGAATAAAAAATACAAACTACGAGTATAACTGTAATGAAAATTATATAATTTTTTTTTACCTCAAAACACCCAACGCCGTACGCATGTTTCAAACACCTATTACCAAGTAGTTCTACATCGGTTAGGGACAACATTTTTAGTATAGCTAATAAAACTTGTGTCCAATTAGATACTACTATTTTCTACAAATACAACCACTGTGTATTTGCCTTATTGTAACCACTGTTGTGAGACACTCAAAATCAACGTTTCAGCGTTTCTTTTTTATAAAATAAATATATCTTGAATGTTCTACTAAAGTTGGAACATAGGTTATAGTTGCTTAGTGTTGCTTCTAGTTGTATAAGCATTTACTGATTTGGTGGATAATCGTCTTTGAATTATATATCAAACAAAAAAAAATATTGTGATAGATTAAATTAAATTTATAAAAACAAATTTATGTCCAAGCAAGCTAAAGAAAGTGTTGCCATTTGACTAAAACCTTAACTCATTGTAATAATACAGTAACTCAAATTACATTTAATATTTCAACTTAGAGGCTGTTTTAATTCAATATAATTGCACTACAAATTTTAACGAAAAAATAAGTACCCACCCGTCCTATTATCACGTACAAAATTAGTCATTAATTAACAATTGTTTACATACTTGTTGCGTTTATGGCTGTATAATATTATTATCCTGTTATCAATTTTAACATGTAGAAAATAATTTAACAACCTTATAAGGTCAGCTTGTTTCTTCCTACAGCGTAAAATAACAGAAAAAGGTAATCAATAGAGATTGGCGGACTGTGAGATTGGCACTTCGTTAGTGGAAACGAATGAAACCCTTCTAGAATCTTATTCCCACTAAAAATGTTTTGAATCCAAAACTTATTGAATGAAAATTTCTGTTTGATGTTCATTTAGCCTTACCACACTACATAGATAAATATATATTTACGTTTGTTTTAATTTAAAGGAAGGCACACTTCTATTTCCCTTTAAATAATATATATATATATATACATTTCAGGAATATAATAAAATATATTATTGTTATAACTTGATAATGTAAATAAACATATATTTAATCCGTAAAAATATGCTTAAGGCAAAAACGGGAAAACTTATAATAAATGTGGGCAGAAACGAACGAGCTACGATCGTGCCTCACCTGTGGACTGCTGAAGACTGGTCGCTCTTATCTCGGACGTATTGTATCCTGTCTTGACCTTTGTCCTGCGTAGGTTCGGTCTCTATTGTCTTCTCTGTCTTACACATTAACGGATTTTTCCATTCAGGTTATTACAACTAAAGAATGGCTACTTTGCCCAAAATAAAACTCAAACAAATAAATCTTCCTGTATAACAATTCCTCCCCACAAAATAAAGTTTACTTCTATGTCTATATACAACACTGGGGAGGGTTTCAAAATTTGTCTTTATAAGTCTAGTTTACGAGGCATTCGTCGAACCCTCTGCGATCGACGTATGCCCTCGGCACTATCTTCGTGCTGCCTTGTATTGTCTGTGTCTTGGTTAATTATGATAGGAGTCTTAGTCGGGGATATCACTGGTGGTAGTTGTTTAGGAGATGAAACGCCAGTTGATCGTTTTGCTTCTGGACTTTTTTGGAACAGTTCTCTTGGAAAGCGGAGGGACACGTCATCTTCCTCATCAGGTTTTGTCATATTTGTTCGAAGATGGTCGACATGGACAAATCTTGTTCTATTGTCAACCCTTACCAAATAAGTTACAGGGCTTATAACCTTTATTATTTCTCCTGAAAGCCAATTAACATTTTCTTTTCTGACAGATCTTACAAAGACACGATCTCCAACCTCAAATGACCGTGCTTTACCTCTGTGAGCGTTTGCGGTTCTCACCATTTTCTCTTGTTTAATATTTATTTCGTTAGCCAAATGTGGCTTCAACAAACTTAGATGAGTACGGGGTTTGAATTTCAAAAGAGTTTCAGATGGTGAGACTCCTGTTGTGGAATGTGGTGTGTTTCTGTATGAAAACAAGAAGGCATCAATACGGTGTTGTAGGGATCGATTAGCCTTATGGGTCGAGTCAGGTAACATTTGCTTCAGAAATGCTTCCTTAACAGTTTGTACAGCCCTTTCGGCTAAACCATTTGAAGGTGGGTGGAAAGGAGGTTAAAATATGTGATGAATTCCATTAGATTTCAAAAATTCCTTGAACTCGCTAGAGGTGAATTGGGGACCTCCGTCTGTAACCACTGTGCAAGGTAGACCATATGCCGCAAAACAATGGCGTAATTTTTCAATGGTCTTAGTTGAGGTAGTAGTTGACATTGAAAACACTTCTATCCACTTCGAGAAACTATCAACAATGATGAGAAATTCTTTGTTTTCATAATGAGCAAAATCAAGATGGATTATTTGCCAGTTATGCTTTGGCCAGGACCAAGGTTGGAGCGGAGCCAGTGTAGCTGATTTTCTAGTCATCTGACAAATTTTGCATTCCTTGACCATTTCTTCTATCTCCTGATCTATCTTCGGCCACCAGACGTAGCTACGGGCTAAAGCTTTCATTTTGGATTCCCCCGGGTGTTCTGAATGAAGTAAGATTAGGATTTCCTTCCTATGTGTAGGTGGAATGATCACCCTGCTCCCCCATAAAAGGCAGTTCTTCTCCGTAGAAAGTTGCATTGTCTTGTCCGTGTAGTTTTTTAAAGCTGCATCATCGACGTGGCTGGGCCACCCGTTGGTGGTGAATTCCATGACTTTAGACAAAATTGGATCGAATTTCGTTGCTAATCCTATTTCTTTGTAGGTGATAGGTAATTGTGTGGTCGAAAAGAAATTTATGTCTCCTTCATCTTCTTCCGTGTTCTTGCAGGGAAGGCGAGATAAGGCGTCTGCATTTGAAATGTCGGATCCTTTTTTGTATCTGATAGTGTAGTCATAAGCAGATAATGTAAGGGCCCATCGTTGAATTCGAGCGGCAGCCAATGTGGGGACTGCTTTGGTCGGTCCGAGTAAAAATATTAACGAGCGATGGTCTGTGACCAAGGTAAATCTCCGCCCATACAAGAAATTGTGAAACTTTTTTATGGCAAACAGAAGGGCCAATGCCTCCTTTTCGATCTGACTATACTTGGTTTCACACTTAGTCAGTGTTCGACTTGCAAACGCTATTGGGCGTTCAGATCCGTCTCGTAATTGATGAGCTATGACGCAGCCAACTCCGTAACTCGAGCTATCACAAGTGACAACAATTTCTAATTTTGGGTCGTAGGGCATTACGACGTTTTTTCAACAAGTTAGTACGTTGTTTTTCAACAAAAGCTTCTTACTAGACTCAAACGCACTCTGACATTGAAAATTCCATTCCCATTCAGTGTCGTTCTGCAGAAGTTTGTAGAGCGGATGTAAGAGAGATGATAAATTTGGCAAAAATTTCCCATAGTAATTTAACAACCCTAAATAGGATTTGAGCTGCGACACATTTTCGGGTACAGGAGCATTGACAATCGCTTCTGTAAGTTCTTTACTTTGGTGGATACCATGTTGATCCAAGCAATGGCCTAGAAACGTTAAACGTTCTTTGAAAAATTCACTTTTTTTTAATTAATTCTAATTCCATAATCATGAAGGCACCTCAACACCGCTTCGACTCTCTGAGTCATTTCAGTTACTGATTTTGAATAAATCAAAATATCATCCAAATAGGCCTTGGTGTTCTCAAGTCCTTGTAGAATTTGGTCCATCGTTGATTGAAATAACGCTCCAGCGCTAGTTATACCAAAAGGGAGTCGGGCATAACGGAACAACCCTTTATGAGTCGTGATGGTCAGCAATTCTTGAGAAGGCCTATTAACCTTGAGTTGGTTATAAGCAGCCGATAAATCTAACTTTGTAAACAGTGTTGCACCAGATATGCTAGAAAAAATATCCTCAGGATTTGGAAGCGGATAGTGATCCGTTCGAATATTCGGGTTCAGTGTGACTTTAAAATCACCACATAGCCTAACCTTATTATTAGGCTTAGGTACTACAACTAAAGGCGTAGCCCATTCAGATTGAGAAACTGGGTATATGACCCCATTCTTTTGTAGGTTATCTAATTCATCCTCAACAGCAGGTCGCAAAGCGTACGGCACATTTCTGGCCTTGCAGAAAACCGGTTTTACGTTATCTTTTAAAATTATGTCAACGGACATGTTTTTAATTTCTCCTATAGACTCTTCAAAAACATCAGAATATTTCTTCTTTAGATCAGAAATAACATAGGTAGTTGGAACGGACTCACCGTTTCTCAGCTGGTGCACTGATATGTCTTCGCTGCTTGTAGATCTCACGGAACTCTAGTCCAATTTCATCCTTTCCATCCAGTTACGCCCCATAAGCGTAGGCTGTGTAGGTCCTGTGTTCTCCACGACCACCACGGGTAGCTGAACTTCTCCCTCTCGAGTATTTACACTGACCTTAAACTCACCAACAACATTGATTTTTTCGCCAGTGTAAGTCTTTAATTTAACACTAGACGAGGACAAACTCGGTAGATTGTGCTGAAACTTCTCATAAAATACAGAATCTGGCATAACTGTAACAACAGCTCCTGTATCGATAACCATCTCCACAGGGACATCATTTAAAATCATTTTAGTTACAAAACTATTCTTTTTACCCTCATTGCCTGCATAGGCTATAGTAAACAAATCAGTGCATTCTTTGCCCTGTGTGTAAGACACTTCGTCTGAACCATCAGACTCACAATTATTTACTCTACCAGAGTTTTTATACTTAGGCTTGAACCTATTGCTACTCTTTAGTCTGCAAACATTTGCCAAATGTCCTTTTTTATTGCAATTATAACAGGTTGCTTCAGTATAAGGACATGACTTGCCGTTGTGAACTCTACCGCAACGGTAACACTTGATATTGTTAGGCATTTTATTGAAATTGCGCTTAACAAAGTTTAGGCCTACCTCTCCAACTTGAGATTCAGGGTGTAGTGATTTTACATTTTTGTCAGCATTCTCTATAACTAAGGACAGCTCAAGAGCCTTAGAGAAATCTAAAGTTGAACCTTCAGCAAGAAGTTTACTTTGGATATGGGTAGATCTGAGTCCACATAAAAATCTATCCCTCAATGCTTCATCGAGAAAATCCTTAAAGTTGCAAGTGGTAGCTAATTTTTTTAGCCTAACTGAATACTCTGAAATACTCTCCCCCTCTTTTTGGGAAGCCTTGTTGAACATGAAACGTTCATAAGTTGTGTTTACTTTACCAACAAAATGAGCCTTCAATGCCCCAATTATGAAAGCATAAGTAGTTTTTTCATCACCAATCTGCACAGGATGAATAATATCCTTAAGAGTAGTGTATAGGGCAGGGCCCATAACAGAAATGAAAAATGAAATTTTATTTTCATCTTTAATAGAATTAACCTTGAAAAAATGTTCAAGTCGCTCAGAGTAGTTTTGAAAACTTTCTAAGTCCTCATTAAATTCTGCAATCCTTCCTACAATCTGCTTGGAAGTCATATTTACAAATTAAATACTCACAGTAAAATCCTGTTAAAACCTTTTTGCCAACAGAATACATCACTTGCAAACCGGCATTATAATCATTACTTCCGTGCATAACCTCAAATTGCACCACAACAACAAACAAGTAGAAGTAGACAGACGATTCATGAATGAATAATTTATTCTAGAAATTCCGTTACTTTAGTCACTATTATTTCGAATATTAGGTTCCGTAAAAATAATAGTTTCAGTTACTAGTGTTTGGTACACAGAATAGTAACAGTTATGTAATAACAGTTCCTTGTCACAGTTACTAGCTACTTGAAACAAAATCAAAATGGCTTCTTGGTTCTTGACAAACTAAAACACGAATTTTCAGAGTTCATAAATCGAGTAAAAATACACTTTAAAACACACACGGAGTTCTTTAAATACTCTCGTCGCCACTGTTATAACTTGATAATGTAAATAAACATATATTTAATCCGTAAAACTATGCTTAAGGCAAAAACGGGAAAACTTATAATAAATGTGGGCAGAAACGAACGAACTACGATCGTGCCTCACCTGTGGACTGCTGAAGACTGGTCGCTCTTATCTCGGACGTATTGTATCCTGTCTTGACCTTTGTCCTGCGTAGGTTCGGTCTCTATTGTCTTCTATGTCTTACACATTAACGGATTTTTCCATTCAGGTTATTACAACTAAAGAATGGCTACTTTGCCCAAAATAAAACTCAAACAAATAAATCTTCCTTTACAACAATTATGTACTGCCTCTGTTTTGGGATCAAATTATTTATAACTTTGTGTCATGTTTGAATAGTATCATTTCTAGAATATATCACTTATTTACTTATTATTTTCGTAATATACTGAGCCGTGATAACATCAGATATTAACAACAATGAGCTTTTGTAGTAGTAAATTATTGTTTTTAATGGTCATCGATTCAGTGCAGATTTTTTGCGCGTTAGTTTTACTGTTCATAGCTGCCTTGATCAGTAACATTTGAACCTTTTTCCAATTTATTTCTTTCAGTTTAAACACAGGACAGTGAATTTTACAAACTCTATATGCCAGCAGGGCTTTGTTGTATTTCTTTAATTTATTGCATATTTTAAAAACTGAAAATAAAAAAGTTTAATAGTTTAATAGATACCATTAAAATACAAGCAAAGTCAACGTTTAAAATCTTTAAATGATAAAATTATTCTCATTTAGTGACTAGGGGGCCATGATTGCAAAATTACAATGTGTCTTAAGTTTTTAGCTAATAATTTACTATTTTTTGTGGCCCACCTTTGAACTGGTTGGACACATATGTTATTTGGGTTTTATTTACCTTTATTTAAAACCCATCCCGACGTATAAACATCGCCTGTAATAGTATTACCAACAACTAAGCTGTATGGTATATTTGTCCAAGTATTTCGTCGATTATTAATTGGCAAATGAATATATATATATAAAACAATATAAAGGTTTCCTCAGTTTCTATGTTTTTTATTGTATTGTAACAGCAACAACTTGTATCAATTCACTTAAAATTTTGCTTTGGTTTAATTATCTGGTTTTATGAAAATGTAAGGCTTTAATTCTTTTTAAAATGTATGTAAATATACACGGACTTGGGAGAAAATTAACTATAAGATTTCAAATCGAAATTAAAAGGTAAAGTCAAACAATTTAAAAGGGAAACATTGTTAAGCATTACACTTATTTCTATTAAAACGAAGTAAGCAAAAAAACAATTTTCCTAATTTATTGACGGGCTAACTTTGTTGCAAGACCACAGTAAAGTTTTTGGCCAAACTAACTATAAATATAAATACTTAATCTTTTGCTTGTTCTTTACGAGAATTTTGCAATTATTTTGCAAGTTTGTACCTTGGAATTAAACTATGAAATAAATCACACCAATTTAGTGTGAACGGATCTATTAATATAAAAAATAATTTCTTCCATGGATTATCACACGTTAGTAACATTTGTAACTCACTTAATAGGTTGCCTATAGTTTAAAGATTGTAATTAAATTTTTTTGTATTTACTTCAAGTCCTTATTGTATTTGATGTAAGCAACATATATATGTTAATAGACCAAAAACATTTTCTCTTAAATACTTATATCTTCATTAATACGATAAAATTAACTGGAATGAAAGTAAGTTTTAAAATATGTATTCATGCTTCCAGTGATATTGTTTTATTGTTAAAGCTTTCAGCTGCTTGTTAGTAGTATTAATTGCTAACATTTAACTAATCGTAAAGACCTTTTGTGAATTAAATAGGTTTTAAAGAAACAGTGTTACAACAATCAAGACAAAAAGGGTGAAGAGAAAGGGGAATAAAAACTCTTAAGGATTCTTCCTTAACGAACGGACGGAACCACCCTTCCGTCCTTAACGGTTGCACGGACGGTGTGTTGACGAATAGTAGAATAAGTCGGGAATTTTAATTGGGTCAACCAAATCCTCTCTGGTATCTGACAAGATTATTGATTTGTAAGACATTTTTGTCTTGGTTGTCTTATAAATCATTAAGATCTAGGTTTTTATAGATAAAGTAATATTTTATAGATGGACTTAGGTAGAAGTTTATCTAATAAACAGATAATATATAATTTCATAAATTTCAATTTTCAATTCACAGAAAATTTAATCATTTATACCTAATTTATGGAAAGGAATTATTGAAAAGGAATATAATGATTGGTAATAAAAATAAAATTCCCACTAATTTAAGAATACTGGCCTGAGTTTACTTT